AGCCCACAGAACCTTAATGGTTCCCCATTAAATTTCAAGTTTTCTCCTGCTTGTGGCAACATGTATCCTGGCTTATCCTAAAAAATAGGTTTGTGGGAGATAGGCTTTATATATGATACTCACTTCAACATACACAACTGGAGGTTTCTGCTTAGGTTCTTTCATATGACAAAAACGGTGTCCATATCTTTATCTTTGTGCGTTTTGGCGTTTTTGTCTATTCGGGAGCTCTTGGATGTCAGAGACGTTACCAGGGATCACTACATGGAAGTGGCTCTTGTCGATCCCCTCCACTTAGGTGAGTCCTGAAAAAACCTGGCCTGGACAAGGCAGTAGTAGTTTCACTGTGGAAAAGGTTTGTGCAGCATATACCACAATCATGTATGTTGTACCAAAGAGACTAGGCCAATTGAAAGGATGGAACATATTCACCCAGCTGGAAGGCCAACAGAAATAGAGTAGTCTCTTGGAGTTGCTTATTGCAGTAACATCTGAGCACTTCACTTTCATCAATAGATTTGTCCTCACAACACCCTGGAATGTATTTTCCCCATGGGGAACTAATATACAGGGCACATGAAGTGACTTGCCTGAAAAGGTCTGTGGCTAACTCAGGAATTGGACCTAGATCTCATAGATTTAGCCCCAGCTCATTGCCTGGAATACCATATTTCCCTTTCTTGATATAATGCTGTTCTATCTATCAACTCTATAGGCCTTTTCAGATATATGGCTCACATCTTCACTGTGTACTAGCCTACCCAGAAACCAACAGTTCATCTCAGCACGCAGTCAAACCTGGTTTCAGAGGTTATTTAAGGAACCACTAAAGCCTGACTGCTTGTTGTAGAACAGACTTTTGACTAAAGATAAAGCTGAGGTGCTCTGCTATCCTTGCAGGATAATTTAAAGATGCCATTGAGGATGGGGAATGGGTGGGATGTTGCCTCATGGGGGTGTTGCTTTAACTATCCAAAGGCATAAGACAGAGGACAAGAGAGCTGATGCTGGGGGCCTGGTTCTGCAGTCCTTCCTCAGGCAACACTTCTGTTGATTTTAGTGGGAGGTTTGCTTGGGTGAGGCCCATCATGAGAATCATAGCCCCACGGCAGGTAGCAGTGGAGATCTCAGTCCCAAAATGCAGGTGGCCTTCAGAGGCTCTGGAGGGAGGAAAAAAGGGACTAAGTCTGTTTTAAGGTCTGGGTAGAAACAGCTTCTAGGTGATCTTCAGTCTCATTGGTCCTTCAGTATCCCTTTGTTGGATACTCAGGGCCAGCTTGGACACACCGATGAAAACCAAGAGGACCCTGGCAGCTGCTGCTTCTAGGGTTGTCCTAGAAAATATCAAATGTGACTTACAGTGCTCCCTGGATCCAAGAAGCTACTTGCTGTCTTTCCAACACTTTCTTTCAGTGGCAGGAAATCTGAGGCTGACAGCAAAATTTGTCTTTGTAAGCAGCTCAATGCCCTGTCCATGGATGGGAGAGCATCACAGCATTTCCAAGACCTGCTGCCCCAGGGCCCTTCTACCCATCCACTGCAGTTTATAATCTCTGCTTCCTCACCACTGCCAGGCAGCATTTTAAGAAAAATGGGTGCAAAACCCAGGAAATGTGTGTCTTATTAATCACCATTAAGGTTGACAGGGTGGGGCCAAGTCTGGAAGCTGGCAGTTGTTCACACATCTAATGCAGTGGGGAAACTGGAAAGTCTACTTCTGAACCGTAAACAAGGCCCTGGAGCTGAGCCCGGGGTGACTCAGATGAAATCAGAGGAGCTCTCAGTGTGTTTACAAGATTCCTTTCAATCTGACACTAAGATGGACAGGGCCAAAGCAGACTCGCTGGAGCATTCTCCACCTGCCAGTCTTATCAAGGGAAGCGTCTCCTCCCTTGTGGCTCACCAGAATCATTAATAATGTAGCAGAGAGACCCAGAGCCACATCTAATGCCTAGGTACAGGTAAAGTGGTCAGACTTTTATCTCAGAGCAGCAGATGGAAGAACAGGAGCCTTCTTGCTGAGAAAAGGGAGGTACAGAAATATACCCACATTTCACGTTCGGCTCAGTTTAGGTGCAGATTTTTTCCAACCCCCTATTATACCCACAGCCTGCTGTGAACCCATGTGGAGTTCAAGATGTTCTCTGCAATTCACTTCCAGCTACCTGTCTCTTAAAGATGGAAGTACAGCCTTCACCCTGGCATCTTGAGTCCATCAAGATGGAGTGTTGCATTCTGGGACCTCTGTAGGAGGCAAGAAGGAACATGTGTGAAGCTTGGGCTCTTATCAAAGTGCCAAATACTATCACCTAGCTAAAATCTGGACACTTCTGCCATTCACCTTGCTTATCTGTAAGTCTTGGGTCTTCCTCCTGCTTCCCCTTGCTGGTTCTTTCCTTTAGCTTCTCTCTACAAGAGGGAATAGAGCAAGGTAGATAGAAAGGAAAGCAGGATGCTCCCCATCCTCACCACACTGAAAATGGCACATACCCTTACTCTACATTGAAATTTCTGTGACCCTTGAGTCTCTCATCTCCTTCACAGGAGATTCTTGGAGCACAGAGGAGGTCTGTCCCCAGGCCTAAGTCTCCAAGCAGATCACTTGAGATCTGCAGTCTTCTTGGGAAAACCCATCTTTTCTGGAGACAAAATTCCAGGTTTCTACCTTGATCTGAGGCCAAAACCATCTCAGTTGCAGAGCAGTCTTGGTAGAGCTCTGACAAGAGGATCTCACAATAAATTCTTACCCCAAGAATCCTTCCCCATTTATCCTCCCCACAGAGCAGCCTCCCTGATACACTAACAGTGATACCAAATAATGCTTTATCTATTTACTTTGTGCTGTCTGTGCTGAAGAATCCAAGGATCTGTGGTCACCAATTTTTGGTGGTTTTTTCCCCTAAATAGGTGAAGTGGGGATTATTTCAAGGCACACAGAATTCTTGGCAGGCAGGTTAATAAAGCTGTGTGAATAACTGATCTTTCAGCTCAGTTACCAAGATGAAACCAAACCAAACCAAACCAAACTAAACCATGCAAGTTTGGGGTTGCCCCAAATAATATCATTTTGCTCTTCTCATCAAAACAAAAGGTAGGGATGAAATCCTTTAGTGAAAACATTTAAAAATGTTTTGTTTGACCTGAAATGTTTTGCTTCTTTTTCTGGGGACATTTAAACTAGTTTTGAGTCAATTAAATTTGACTAAAGTTGGTTTCAAAATCTGATTTCAGAAATTAATTTGGATTTGAAAAGATCAGAAATGAAATGTTTTTACTTTTTCAATATTTTCCCTTTTTTATAAGTGAAAATGATTCGCAAATTCTAGTGCTGGTAATCCCCAAACATAATTTTTCTGCAAATAAATGTATTGCAATAAACTTCCAACCCAGCTCTCATGGCCTGGAATACACAAAGCCTGTATAAGCCAAAGGATAAGCATTTGGCTTGGACATGGGACCCTGGGAACAGGTGCTTACAGACCATTTTCAGAACTGGGTAATGGCGCCCCAAGCCAAGCTACCTCCTTAATGACTGAGCGCCATAAATCCTGAAGCTGGTGCAATTGGTTTCCCATCAGCTCTCTACTAGTTGCTGGGCCATCCCAAAAGGAAACTGCTGAGGCCTGAAGAGGCATAAATTCCTCTCTTGTAGACACTGCCTCTAGTTCCTAACACACGTGCTGCCTCTAGTCCCATGGATAGCTTAGGTCACCCAGGCCTGGGTTTCCCCCTAAATATGGATAGTTGGGTCACCCAGGTTTCTATACTGCATCAGCTACTGCTCTCCCTCACCTTGACTCAGTGATGGTTCTCCAGGTGCCCTTTCTTACCCTTCACATAGTGTTCCTTCCTTCTCCACAGCCCTCCTGTAGCCCCAGCACTGGTCCAGGTGCCCTATCCTTTCTTTCTGAGTAGCATTCATTATATAGGAGAAGCCCCAATGAGTGCTGAATTGTGCAGTGATGGTTCCTTCAGGAGGAGGTTCACCATAAACTCTCTACTCTTTAAACCTGAAGGATGTCTGAACAGCTGGACATCCTTACAGTCTATGCTGTTCAGTCAGTCAATGGGAAGCTACTCTGTAGTTCTTCCCTCTCTTTATATCACATTATGGGGGCTGAGACTCAAATGTTGTGGCTCTGTGTCTGGTTCTAGCTGGGTATTGGCTCCAAAGTATCTTAGGGCGAGGGTCATACCACAGAGGGAAATAACAAGCCTAAGTCAGACACATATTAATGATTGTGCTGCCTCTGAATAGTGGGGCAAAAGGGAAATCTTCATCCTGGCCCTTAACGAGACCATATTGCAACCACCCACCTCACCATGGCATTTGAACCATCACTGTTTCCCCCCATCCTTAGATCAGGTGATATCTGGGGTATCTTAGATGACCCTGTGTGGCAATTCTGGTATTTTCATGCATTTACTATACATTTATAGCTACCTGTTATCCCAAAGGTCCCTGCAATACTTCACAAACTCATAATCCTAAATGTATGTAAGGAGAATGGCCTCCCCCAGGGAAATATAGTCCCATCCCCTCAATGTCCATTCAAAAAACTGCTTAGTAGGGTTGTACAGAAGTGCTACAGAATGGTTTAGAGTAAGGACTACAGTGGCAGAGAAGGACAGAACAATGTAACCTGAGACCTAAATTCAGATCCAGGCATCTCCACAACAGCAGTTTGTGGAGGACTGGGATTGCCAAGCCCTGGAGGTACAGCTTTCACTGCGCTGTGGGTCTTCCTTCTTCAAGGATAATGAGAGAGCACCTCGCACCATGACTTGTCCCCCAGACATCGTTTCTATCCAGCCCTTGCACATAGCATGCATCCTGAACCACAAGGATGAACTCACGTAGTACCATGTCACCAGCTTGTGCTGGAGCTAGACAAAGATTTCTCTACCTTTGCGGGCACCTGTGTGTCATAGACTCCTCTGACTATCTGAACCTCCATCTCCTCCCTGTGAACCTGAAAATCAGATGCATGCAGAAAGCATTACACATTGTAATCTTTATTGATAACATCCTCAAGGCAAAAAAAGACAAGGTGGTAGAAGGAAAAATATTTTTAAAAATGGAGAAGGAGATGTAGCAAAGTCCTATCCCACCACAGCATCCATTGCAATGTGGAACCGATCATCTTCAGTACATGAAGAGGGAGAAGGAAACCAGGGCCAGACACCTTTTTTCCTTCCTCCAAAATGAAGGATCCTAGTTGTCGCCCCACAGATGGTCTGGCTCTTCAGTATTCCCCAGGGTGGTCCTGGGATCTGCTCCCCAGTCATTCAACCTGAGGGACCTGCTCAGTTGGGGAAGATCTCAGAGAGGACTCAAAAGCTGCTTGTGACCTTAAGGCTGAATGCAATTGTGGCAGCGATGGAATCCTTGTCGCAGACTGTTGATTGAAAAAATAAAAGAAGTAAAAGGAGATTTGGAAATATTCAGCATGCTAGTGGGTGAGTGTGGGAAGCTCCCAGCTGTGTGTGAGAGAGGAAGCCACTTTCCCATTCTGAGCCTCCTTTTCCCATTTCTATGCTCTATTTAAATTGCAAGCACTTGTTCTGCTTTAATTAGAGTCTGTACAGTGCCTAGCATGATGGGACCCAATATCAGCACACATCACTTTAACAACTGCAAGTCACTCTGGGGCATAGCCAGGGAGAACTAGGAAAACTCTAGACCAGGAATGACCAGCAACCATCAGCAGGTAAGCAGCACCAGAGGGGCTTACACAGAGCAATGTACATGAAATAAATGCCCCCTTTCACACCTAACACAAAGGCAGGAGAATACAGAAAATGTCTGGGGTTGAGGCAGGAAATGGCAGGTTGATGTTAATCCAGTTCAAATACTGATTGATAACATGGGAAAAGGAGTGAAGAGGGGGAAGAGACCTGTGGACACTCAGGTGGGCTCTTTCTTCTTCTCTCCCATCAGTAATGGTGGAGCCAAACAAAATCTTCTCAGCCATTTCTGTAGTCTAATATTTACTAGTAATTCAACTACAGCTCCTTAGTTGCCATTTGGGAAGCTCCTTGAGTGCCTGCAGCACTCAAGGAGCTTCCCAAATGGTCTCCTATTTGAGTACTAGCCAGGTTCTCCACTCCTTAGTTTCCAATATAAAATGATAAGGGGATGCAGTCAGTCCAGGAAGACTGAAGGCTTGATAAACTACTAGGAGTCACAGAAGTTAGACAGGGTCTGATAAATAACAGGCTTGTTCTCTGATTCAGTAAAATCAATGAGAGAACTTCCATGGATCCCAGTGGGCTTTAAATTAGATCCTGTAACACAGAACAACCTGGAGGTTGGAAACATAAATGGGAAATCTCATATTTTCTTGCATATGTCACATACCTTTTCCCCAAAATCAGTGCCCCAAAGTTGGAGAGAATGTATTAAGTGGGGAAGCTGATTTTCTGCCTTGGATAGAAGTACCAGCTTTTATTCTTAGCAGCAGTGGCCTTACTATTCAGGTAGATGAGGGGGTCAACTAACTTAATGGTTCCTTGTGTTTTATTCCACAGGTGTTAATAACTGTCTCTCCTTTTTAATGGTGTTGATATTCCTCTAATCAAGCTAATCTTTCTTAGGGAAATAAGAAATCTAATTAAAGACTCTAATTAAAGCAGAACAAGTGTTGTCTGCCAGCTGTTCTTGGTCTGTCTCCTCCTATTTCACAGCCCTGGAAACTCTTTAGCTCTTTTCAAAATATTAGATTTACCCATGGAGACCAGTAGTAAGCAGCAGCTAGGGTTTCAGCTGTAGTTAAGCAGGAAAGGGAGCAAGTGAACTGAAGATTAGCCCCTGTCCCTGGTTTATACAGCTAAAACTCTGAAAATCTTTTTCTCTTCATTCTGCCTTTCAAAAACAAGGTATGTGCTATATTCTGGGATATGTCATATGCAAGAAAACATAATAGCTAGAGATGGACTGGTAGTGTTAAAAATCTGTTAGCAAAGAGTTTGCCAAATTGTGGGGCAGGCATGGGGTGTACAAATGTCTACAAACAGCAGATGATACTGGTATCAACAATAGGATTATAAAAGGCCAGTCACCAAGATGTGAATGATCAACAAACAATTTAGTGTGTAATGAATACATGTCAGCCACACAGTGAAAAAGAAACATTGCTCCCTTCTGGAGAGCTACCAATCAGACAAGGGCAGTTATAAGGACTGGGGCTCCTTTAAGGATCCGATAAGAGCAGATTTAAAAAAAACTGAACAGGCCTGGTCCACAGTGGATGTAAGTCAGCCTGGCTCAGGTGAAATGTATCAGTTGGCCATGGGGGTAACCCAATATCTGCATCAAACACAGCAAGGGCAAGGCGGGTGTCCCTAGAAGTGATGGGATCAGCAGGGGCAAATGGAAATTTCAGCTAAACATCAGAAGAAGCTTCCCAACGCTGAGATCTATGAACTGTGGAACAGTGTCCCAAGGGAACACTGGTTCTGGAGTCACTTTCAAGTTGACTAGACAAAGCACCCAAGCCCAGAATAAGCCAGCAATGGCCCTCCAGGGAAGCAGTGCCAAAATAACCTAAGATGTCTTCCCTCATAGTGGTAGCTTAAGAGATAAGAAGGCACAACTTACAAGGCATGTAACTCTTTCAGGGACGCTGCACACTGTGAGCAGCAGCACATCCAAGCTAGCATTAAACCAGCGATCAGGACTCCCTCAGGCTCCCAAATCCTCGCCGGGAAGTTTGGCTCATCAGCAGCCCCGACGTGAATTTCTTCCTTTGCCCAAGCAGACTGCTGATTAACTAGGAATTAAGCTGGCATGAGACAAGAGCTTGTTGATGTCTCTATAATGCTTCAGCTGATAGACAAAAATAACTTTCATGTCATCTCTTCTGCTTCATCTTCTACAAACATGTCCCACACTGCTGGGCTGTCAGCCAAGGTCCTCCTGACACTGCAATATTATACTTGTACTGCAAAAGGAAGAGACATGTACACTCACATATCCGTACCCACACTCACATACACTCACTTGTGGATGGATACACAAGGCATTTATGCAAAGACACCAACATTCACACACAGAGACACAGACACCCACACACTCAGCTATAAAGGTATATTTTCACGATACACCTGCATACAAAAAACTTGTATCTCTATATATACAAACCTTGAAGGGCCCACATATCACAATCCACACCCACAATCACAAACATATGTAAATGAACAATTGCACATCCATGTGATCATACACAAACATACTAATACACACACATACTTTCACTTGTGCAAACATGCAGAGTCTTAAAACTACACACAAACACAAGCAACCATATACACAGCTGCACACTCACAGCATACTATATATAATAGGGTGGCTTCCCCTTTTAAGGGCCTGGGGAGGTCTGGGTACAGCCAAACCTTTTCTGAGCCAGGCTGGCTGGCAGGTGAGAGTGGTCTACTGATTAGGGCAGGATTCCAGCCAGAGGATTTAAAGAGAGCACCCAAGAAGGGAGTGGGGTGGCAAGCTGTGAAGAATGATACTACAGCTGAAGGTAACAAGAGTGACTGTGGCCTGGGGGAGGTGGCTGGGGTCTCTTCCATCCTTGCCCTACTCCTATCCTTGGGGGATCAGGAAGGGACAGGGAGTTGAGGCTGGGCTGCAGTTCTTTATGACTAAGAATAAACATGGGCTCTAAGAAGAACCAAAGAGTGGCTGATAATTGTTCCTCAAGCTGGGGAACTAGAGATTAGCTCATACACCCTAAGGAAATGCAAACATGTACACACCTGAAAAGATGCACAAACACTTAGACACAGACATACTCAGACAGTCCCATCCACTTGTATTTACCTATGTGCTCATTGCAGGAACATGCACTCTATACATATTCCTGCATACTGACAAAGTGTCCACAGCATTCCCAAGCCCAAAGACAGACTTGGGCATTGAGCATGTGTCAGCCTGAGGACGCAGTGAGGAAACAGATGATACAAAGCCTTTGAAAACTCTCCATCCTCAATCTGAGGCATCATTCCCTTGCTTCACAGCCTCTCAGCGGCCTTTTTTGTGGTGGGGGAAAAGGAACAAGTTTTACGTCACAGCTGTGTCTCCATATGGGGTAGCAAGGAACTTGGTTTATGTCAACATGCAGGTTTCCAAAGGGGTTTTACCTATCACCAAGCAGCTTAGGCCACCCCATCTCTGGTGTGCAACACAGTATCATCAGTGTGATAGCACTGAGAGGCCTAGGCCTGGATTAGAACCCCCATGATGTGTGCTGCACTAGTACAAAAGCAAAAGATTGTCCATGCCCCCAAATAGCTTACAGTCTACATCCAAAATACCCCATCTTCTTCCAGGACTTCTGTGCTGGAAGCAGCCTGATACTGAGGCCATGAGCAGACAAACTATTTTCTCTAAGGTAAAGAAGAGGCAGGGCTTTACCATGCATCAGTAATTCCTACTAACTGCCCATGTACACAATCTTTAGTATGGGATAGATGAAAGCCAAAGCATGGTAGCTAAGTAATCATCACAAGAGAGGAAGGTTAGTATAGCTGAGTTACCAGAGTATAAAAACAGGTACACGAGCAGTCACCATCAACCACCTGATGTAGAATAACGCCCCACTGCCTTTTCCCTTGCAGTAACTAGTTTACTTGCTATACCCTCAGGCATGGGTATCCAATTAATTTGGTCTTGCAGGCCAGATTGAGGCCATGGGGCTTTTCATGGGCTGGACAACCCACCTCTGGCATCAGGGTAGCAGCTTGTCAGTTCAGCTGCCAAAGCCTCTATGTGGGTGCAGCTACAGAACCCAGAGGCTGAAGGCTGCTGCTGCTCCCCCACCCTCCTTTTCCCCTGCCACCAATTTTAATCACCAATGGTGATCAAAGACCTGGAATCAGTGACAGATAAGGGGGCGGTGTAAATGAGCAGCAGCGATATTCATATCCTGATGCCCGATGCATATCCTGATGCCGGTGCAGTGGCTCTGGTAGCTGAACCAACAGGCCTTTCACAAGCTACAATTTAGTCATTCAGGGTTGCATGCGGCCCATGAGCCACCATTTGGACAGCCCTACCCTAAGCTATTAGTACAAGCCCAAGTTTGGACTGGTCCCATGTCTCTGTTTGCACTGGTATAATATCAATATACTCACACCAATGCACATTTTGCTAATCTATATACACCATAGGTGACTCGTAGGGGGCACACGGTGGGGCACATCTCCCCCCCGCGAGATTGGTCACTGCCACCGGCTTCCGTGGGCAGTTGCTGCTCACCTCCCCACTCCCCGCCACTGCTGACTCTGCCGCCAGCTTCTTCAGGAGGTCTCCAATCGCCACCCCACCGCCGATTCCGACAACACGGCCACCCACAAATTGTGCCCCCCCAGTCTTGGGAGGCACCAGTCATTCCTGATGTACACTCTCAGCATAGGACTTCCCTGCAGAAGGGCCCAGAGTTGTAAGTTCAAGTTCTCCTTTTGCTGACACATACCCAACTTTGTCTGCCACAAGTGGCTGACTCAGTGACACATATCCAGGTCTCTTGGATGGGCTCCATTACTGCTCTACAGACTACCTATTGTACGCTAGGCTCTCCAAAAACTCCCAGTGCACACTCAGTTTACCATAGAATTATTTACATGCATTTATTTCACTGCTGTTCTGGTGATTCATGCCTAGTTTTCAGTTACTCATAGACATTCGTTTTCTCTCCAAAGTAACTAGCTCCTCCCCAGCATATTAAAGTTTTAATAATTGGGCTTTTTTTTAGCTGGAAACAATTTTCTTTAAAAAGTTTATTATGTGCTAGTTGACAGCAATGATTAAATGCCAAAAGCTTTTTTTTTCATTATATGCAACTATTCTGGAATGAGGACATCCCCCTCTCCAAAAAATCTGAGACACTGCTGAAGTGAAACAGATGGCAGATTCTGCACTTTGGCAGCAGTGCTTAAAAGTAGCCACAGTAATCATCTTCTGTCTTGAAACTAAGCATGAGCATCTTCAGGACAGAAGCTTTGAGTTAGGGAGAGAAAAATCACATGTGGAATGCAACCATTCTTATAATGTTGATTATGTCTTAATTGTTAAATGACAGCTTTGCATTAGCCTCAGATCACATTTTGTTAGGGAACAGCAAAGGCTTTCATAGCCTTCCCTTCAGGAATGAGGTTTCTTTCCTCACTTCTTTCCCATAATGGTCAGGCAACTTCATATATTCCTTAAAACAGCTGGAAAGGTAGGTTGACTTGCTCAGGAAATTAGTCATGGCATAAAGAGTTTGCAGACATCATCACCACTTTAATTCAATCAAGGTCAACAGTAAGTGAAAGTTGACATCTCCTGTCTGTTATTCATTAGCCTCTGTTAGCTAGGGCTCCATCCAGTTTGGAGTCCACATCACACAAAGCAGCATCTATAATGGGCTCCCTGTGTTCCTGTCTCAACACTAAGGACAAAGACTGCATGAGCCACAGTGCCTGCACTTTCTTTTCACTCTGGATGTTGGGACTTTCCATACATCATCATCAATTCAGTATCAGAGCTGTTCTTCAAGCAAACCCCATATACAAGTAAAATACCCAAATATGAGGTCAGTACACCTGTGATTACAGTCCATGGTCATTTAGGGCTTGATCCAAAGATGTTTGAAGTCAATGGAAAATGACTTGAAAGAGCTTTGGCTTAGGCCCCAATCTTACTCCCTTTCTGCATAATTTCAATGGTGTTTTCTCTTTTCTCCTAGGGTGATCCTGGCCAAGGTTCCCTTCTGAAGCTCTGAGTGCAAGAATCCTTGATGTTCATATTTACTTGGCTCTCTTCACCTGTCTCCTTTTTCTCATAGGGCTTCCTGCAGCTGTCTGCCAATAGCTCTGTTTCTTCTAACTGGCTGTCCAGCTGATATGTTCACATCCTTTCACAGCTTCTCTCTCCACTTCAATCAGCAGAAGTCTTTGCTGTCTCCATAGCAGACCAGAGTCCTGTGGCATCCTCTGCTCTACCCTGCACCCTTCCCTCATACACCTGCTATTTCTTTCGGTCACTCTTGTAGGTATACATCCTTTTATTTCTCTCTGCCTGTGAGGAGTCATTAAGGTTTTGGGGGCAGGGAGGATCTGTTTGTTCATTGTTTGTCCAGAACATGGAAACATGGAACTCTTGGCCATGCTGAAGGCTTCTGTACACTGCCACAGTTCATAGAATCATAGAGTCATAGAAGTGGGGTTGGAAGGGACCTTGTAGATCTTCAAGTCTGACCCCCTACCTGGGCAGGAGGGAAACTGGGCTCAAGTGACCCCAGCCAGGTAGGCATTGAGTCACTTCTTAAAGACCCCCAGGGTAGGAGCCAGCACCACTTCCCTTGGAAGTTGGTTCCAGATCCTAGCCACCTTAACTGTGAAGTAGTTCTTATGGATGTCTAATCTGAACCTACTCTCCAACAACTTGTGGCCGTTATTCCTTGTTATCCCGGGGGGCGCTAGGGGAAACAAGATCTCCCCCAAACCGTTCTGGTCCCCCCTAGTGAGTTTATAGATGGTCACAAGGTCCCCCCTCAGCCTTCTCTTGTGAAGGCTGAACAGGTTCAGGTCCCATAGCCTCTCATTGTAGGGTCTGCCCTGCTGTCCCCGGATCATGCGGGTGGCCCTCCTCTGGACCCTCTCAATGTTGTCCACATCCCTCTTGAAGTGGGGTGCCCAGAACTGCACACAGTACTCCAGCTGTGGCCTGACCAGTGTCACGTAGAGGGGGAGGATCACCTCCTTGGCCCTACTTGAGATGCACCTGTGGATGCACGATAGGGTCCGGTTAGCCCTGCCGACCATGACCTCGCATTGTCGGCCCATGTTCATCTTGGAGTCAATGATGACTCCAAGATCCCTTTCTGCCTCCGTGATCTCAAGAAGGGAGGTTCCCATCTTATAAGTGTGTTGCCGGTTACTACTGCTATACTAC